TATAAGAAGTATGAAAATGCGTGGCCCTGGAGAACAACAAATGTCGTGATTTCCAATTATTGCCACTAATTGAAAAAATGGTTTGTAAATATTATATGCTTGACTCAGTGGTTCATGGCTTATTACTTTAAGGTGCTACAAATCTACATTTTCTTTTCTAGTCAAAGGACCAAGACCTAAGCTAATGGCATGTGTCTAGTTAACAAACTTGCACGAGATCACAGATGACCACACCTACCCTGTATGGTTAATTCTTGGCCTTGTTTACAGTCCGCTTCACACTTGGTGCATCCCGCCCCTAGGCAGTGGAACCCCGAGACGCACTCGCACTCGGCATTGCTGGTACGGGAGCACGCCTTCTTAGTCCTGAAAACACCTGCACACATTACATTACATGACATTACATTACATATTACATTACACTTGACCTCCAAATCCAAGAGGCAAATTTATGTTGTGCAGTAGAAACCATACTCACTCTACTCATGATGATCCCAGTGACCTGAGAGTATAAAGTTTACTTGGAAAAAACCCCAGTAGAAGACATTTTTACATTTTGCTAATGAAAATTGTCTCTCTTGTCAAATGAATGTTTCCTCTAATATTTGAAAAAGCTCAATCCACAAATAATTGCTACTACACTCGGTTATTTTATTGGACTCGCCTATTAACAGGGGAACCAGCATCTCTGACACTTAAGACTTTTCAGTAGAGATCAGTACAGTAGGGAATAAAAGCTTGTCTTCCCATTATGTATCCAGGGGGAGAACACACCGTTTAAACCCTACCTTCACACTGCCTGCATATGTCACAGGCCTCTTGTCCACTGGTGCTGGAGAAACTATTTGAAGGGCAGGAAATGCAGATCTGATCCTTGCTTTTCCCACAGAAAGTACCTGAAAAGGGAAGGTCACAGCTGTACATGTTTGACAATGGACTACTGTCACCTGCAGCGTTGTGAGGTTTACAAGAAAACTAGACTGTGGAACAATAATTAGTCTTCTAGGTGCCACAAGAATAGACCTTATTTTGTTGATTGACTTCTTAAAATTATACACTTGCAAGATTGCCCTCAGCCTAATCACAGAATGAAGAATAATGAAATCTAGCTATTGCAACAAATAAATTCCACAGAAAGAAAATGGTTTTCTTTATCTATTGAATAGAACAGAATGCTTTCTCTTGATTTCTCCAGCAGATCAATATGATGGGATTCAGGGAGAGATCAATGTTACACTAGAGCTTAAAAGCGTCTGTCTTTGCCCACTCCATTCCCCTTCTACCTCCTGCCTATACCTGCTGTAGACCCAGTCTGAGCTCAGCCCCTTACACACAAAGCTAGTATTTGCTGAGGTCTTGCCCTGTGCCATGCATGCACTGTTGTAAGCCCATCTCCTGGTCCTCCCAGCAATTGTATGAAGTAGGTTCTCTTTCCATCCCCAGATTACAAAGCTGGGGCACAAGAGATTCAGTGACATGGCCATGTTCACATGGCTAAGCTGCAGCATGCAAGACATATTTGTAAATGAATGAATAAAAGGTCATTAAAACAGAGCCTGTTGGCTCTGACTACCAGATTAATTGAACCATGTTTTCAACAGAACAGATCAAACACACATGTTGCTTTGGTTCTTACCTGCTGGGCAGTTACGACAGAGATCCCTTGTTGATCTTGTCCCCTCCAGTCTCATGACCAACAGCATAATGACCACCACATTGTAATAATAGCCAACTCCCATGATGAAATCTCGCATGAACAGGATACTAGCAAAGCAGATCCCGAAAGAATTTGAATCAAAGTTGCTGTTTCACAGATACCACTCTGCAAAAAGTAAACATTTCCAAGAATGCCGTGGTTTCTCCTTTCAGACTTACTTATATTTTAGCTATTTCCTGTACAATGCCACAAGACTCTAACTCAGGGTTTTTCAAGAACAATTAATGAAGGAGAATTATGGGACAGGTAGTAACTTCTATGTTAAGACAAGCATGACTAAACACACAGCTTGTGCATGTTTGCCAAAAGCTAAGGGTTCACTTTTCAACACGTTTTGCTGAAATGCAGAAAAAACAATAGCAAGAATTTTGGGGACTTTCATGGCTACTTAGCATTAGCATCCAGGTTCCAACCATGCCAGTGGCTCGCTGCTTCAGAAATACAGTCCTTCAAAAGAATGTGTCCGTGGCATCTAACAGCTCAGTTCAATGAGAAGGTCTCTAATTACTGCTATTTGTCTCAACAGCATGTGGAAATTTCAACACCTCATTGCTAAAATGTTGAAATGCCTCTTTGCTCAATTCATCATCCCATTTTTCTTAATAGATGCATATTTGCCCATTTTGAGATTGGAAGCTCATATAGTAACAAAACTAAGAAATAATAAAAAAAATCTCTTCAGGCCAGGTGCTTAATCTTTTTTTTTTTTTTAAATAGGCTCTGGAAGAGATGGTATTAGAAATTAGAAGGGGAAAAATCTAGAAAAGTACAAAGAACACAAAGCTTCTATCCTCACCCCATCTCGGGTCCCAAATGGACAAACCTTGAGATCTTAGTGCTGGTGAAAAACTTTCCACTTGGTCGTCAAGCCTGGAACGTCTGCAGTGAGAGTAGTTTGCAGGTTAGAAACACAGGCAGGAGCTTCAGTGACTCAGCGGGGGGTGTGGCCTTGTGGGAAATCCCCAGCTCAATGTGCCAGGGTAGCTCATTTGCTATCTGCTGACCCCAAAATCCCCCTTAATAATGGCACTGCAAACCATTCTTGGAAGCATCTCGCTGCTGTTAGGACATTCCTCAGATAGTTTTGGGGAAAGGATGTTGTCATTTTCTGTAGTTCTTAAAATACTTGAGATTTGACGGATGAAGACATTCAACATAAGGACCAGCCCTTGGGCCATACACTGCCCTCTATCTCTGTAATGGTGACGCTGCAGCTACAATTTGCTAGTCCAGCTGATGCACCAGGCATCAGATAAGCACTTTAATGAACACTATCTTCAAAAGAACCCAAGGAATCAATATGACTAGTTTTATCGTTGGGACACCATTATGCAAATGAGAACATCGAGGCTATGTGTCTAGCCCAGATAATCGGCAGGATGGAGAGTGGGGATTAGAACCCAGGATGACCTGACTCCTTTATACTGTGCGCCTTGCTGTGTGGGGGAGGTTGGGGAGGAAATGGAGAAACAGAGGGAAAGGGAGACATTGGTAAATTTGGTTACAGGTTACATTGGTAAAATTGAGATCTATGAAGGCATTTTAGAAAAGCATTATTTTGACAACAAAAAAAACTTTTTTAGAAAAAAGAAGAGGACAAGGAGGGTGCTTCAGAGAAACTTGGCGAGCCTGTCCAGCATGGAGTGTCCTCAGGAAGGCAGCCAGAGAAACTAAGAGCAAGTGTGGTTTTTGACTAAACCAGATGGGTTTTCCATTAGGATTTAAACAGAAAAGACCTTTATTTTCCCACAGGAGACATGGAGGCTTGGTCTTGAATGGGGGGATGAAGGAAGAGGAGGAGAGGGCTCACATGTATTAAACATTTGCTCTGTGCTAAGCACTTTACATGACTCTGTCCTGCCACTGTTCTTCTTAGAAATTTTCAGTGGCTCCCTTTCGTCCACAAGAGAAAACCTGGACCCTTACAGTCCAGCAGTCAAGGACCTCCTGGGTCTAATCTGAAGTGGCCTTTTCTGAAAAGTAAGATATAGTTCACATAGCTAAAAGTCACCCTTTTAAAGTATACATTGCAGTGGATTTGGGTATATTCGCTATGGTGTACAACCATCACCAGTATATAATTCCAGAACATTCTCTTTGGTCCAAGGAGAAACTCCATATCCATTAGCAGTCACTTCCCAGTCCCCCTCCCCTTAGGCTCCGACAACCACTAATCTGCTTTCTGTCTCTATAGATTATCCTATTCTGGACATTCCATATAAATGGAATCACACAATATTTGGTCATTTGTATCAGGTTTATTTTTCTTAGCATCATGTTTTCAAAATACATCCATGTCGTAGAATATATCAGTGCTTCATTCCTTTTTATGGCTGAATAACCTTCCGTCGCATGGATGGACCGCATTTTGTTCATGCACTCAACAGTTGATGGTCATTTGAGCTGTTTCTGCTTTCTGACTGTTATGAATACAAGTTTGAGTACAAGTTTTTGGATGGACATGTCTTCAGTTCTCTTGGGTGTAAACCTAGAAGTGGAATTGCTGCATTGTGTGGGAATTGTTTCATTTTTTCGAGGAACGGTCATACTGTTTTCCACAGCAGCTGCACCATTTTGCATTCCCACCAGCAGTGTATAAGGGTTCCAGTTTCTCCACGTCCTTGCTACTGCTTGTAGTTTTTCTGTTTGTTTTTAATTAAAAGTGTTTTTTATTATAACCATCCTAGTAGGTGTGAGGTGGTATCCAACTATGGTTCTCATTTGCTGCCCTTATTCCAATCTTACCACCCTTTCCCCCATGTAATGGGAGCAGTCGTGTATATAGCACATGGTTAAGACCCCAAGCTTTGCTGTCAGTCTGACCTGGATGGAATCTAGGCTCCTCATGACCCTGATGGTCACATGACCTTGGGCAAATTTCTTAACCTCCCTAAGTCTCAATTTTCCCAACCATACCTTACAGATACGGTAACATTGTACCTCATCCTCATTTAGTGAAGAGTAAGTGAAACAATGAACATGGCATACTTAGCTCAATGCCTGGCACGTAGTTCTCAAGCATATAATCATTATTAATATGAGATTTATTGTTTTGAAACCTTCCTTTCCTAGCCTTTCACCCTGATCACCAGCAAAACAACCCAGGACAAGTAGCAACAGAGGAGAAAAATGTGTGGGCTGTCTACAGAATTTATTCCCCAATTCTGAGAGTCATTTGCCCCGAGGTAATTGTGGGGTCCCCTCCACTGACTTCAGTGGAGTCGGCTGAATGTAGGATTACACTGCTGACCACCTCCAACCGCTTTCACAGTCGCCATCTAACACAGTGGCCTCCTCCAGCATGACATTCAGGGTATATTTTCAATGCACTAAATGCCATGACTCATTGACGTTTTAGAGATTCTGTGGGCAGAGATATTACCTCCCCTGAAAATGACGTATGCAGTTTCCCAGCACAGTAATTAGCTAACTTTTTCAAGCTGAGCCAGTGACATAAAAGTCTTTATGGAGCTCAAAGGTGCCCAAGATTAGTTTTACCAGCCTGCAGTTCAACAAAATCAAGCATGTCAGAATTAGTCCCCTGAAGGTCATGATAGCTTATGCCGGTGTTTAAAGACTTTTATTAATGTTCATGTCACCACATCCTTGTTTAAGAAAGTCATCATAGGAAAAGCTAAGGCAAATTCTAGAGTTAACCAGGTGTACATATTATCAAAGTGGGCAAAGATGTACTCTTTCAGTACAAGTTTCATTTGCTTTAAAATATATATCAGGTTGCTTTATTCATTTGCGTGTTCTAATCTTTCAAATGCAACCAAAAAGTTCATCTCTTCCATGAAGCTTTCCAATCAAATCAGAGATGGCCCCAAGCAAACATCAACACTTCAGCAGTTCTCGCAATATGTTTCATCACTTTCTAAACAAGGAATAGATTTTGTTTTATTTTTATTGACTACTGGTCTATTGAATATCTCAAGTGAGTCCGAGTATGCTTTGAGGCTAAAGAGTATGAAGGCTCAACTACTTTGAACAAGATAGAGGCAACGTTTAGAAAGAGAAGAAAAAACATCCCTCCAAAATAAGCTTTCTATAAAATAGGCTCCTGTCACCCCAGGACACATCTTAGAGGCAATCTTATCCATGGAATATGCACTATTTATACTTTTTATTTCCCCAAAGATCGATTCTTTCAAGACTCAGTGTCCCAATCCCTACTTCAAGCATCCATCCAGTCCAGACAGTCTTCACTGTTAGAGATCTATGATGCCTGTGATGCTGATGGGACTTCTGAGGCAGGGAAAGGAATACATTACAAAGGAATTGGAAGGAGCTTGCTCAAGAGTGTGAGCTCTGAGCAACAGGGACGCCAGTTTGATTCCCACATGGGCCAGTGAGCTGCACCCGAGCTGAGCTGCTACTGAGCTGCCAACAGGTGTCAGGATGGCTCAGCTGGTGAGAGCACGTGCTCCTAACAAGACTGCATGTTCGATGGTGGGCTACGCCTGCCTGCAACTAAGCCTGAACTCGGCACCTTGAGCTGAGCTGCTGCCCGGGTGGCTCAAGGGATAGAGCGTGCACTCTTAACAACAAGGCTGCTGGTTCTACTCCCGCATGGGATGGTGGCTACTCCCACCTGCAACTAATTGAACACAGCACCTTGAGCTGAGTGGCACAACTGGACTTGGAGGTGAGCTTGCTGCGCCCTCCACAACTAAGATCGAAGGACAACAACTTGGCTGTTCTCCTCCCCCCAATTCCCCAACACTGTTCCCCTCCCCCAATTCTGCAATAAAAAATCTAAGAAAACAAAAAAAACCACAAAGGAATTAGAAAAAAGAAAGTGGAAAATGAGAAAAGAGGAAGGGGAGTGGGGAGAAGGAAGCGTATTATTGTAAGGAAAGGTGGGATGTTAGCAGTCATCAAATGCACTTTTCCTCCCCTGTTCACTTTCTCTATGTGATGTCCACTTATGGGTTAGTGACTCATAAATATTCACTTCCAACTCAGACCACCTCTGACGCTACACATCCAGGGCAAAAGTGCAAATGGAGGCTCATGTGTGTGCCACATGTCCAAATATTCAGATGTTACACATCAAGTTAAGTACACTGGTAAATAAAATATGTTCTGTCCAGGGCAGGACCCCACAAATTTCACACACACACACACACACACACACACACACACACACACACACACGTAACAAACAGGAGCCTCTGTGACTGGGAATCTGGCACAGAGGGTGGAGATGCTGGCACAGAGGACGCATACTCTATCATCAGCTCCATTGCCCTCGGAGCTAACACTGTCAGCCGACAAGTAAACACCACAGTTCTTGTTCTGTGTCCAGGTAGTAGCGTTTCTGGGCTGCGCTCCAGCCAGGTTAGCAGCACCGCCTCAGAGAGCAGGGGGAATATGGGCCACAGAAGTACCGGGGCAGGGAAAAGGCACAGTCATCTGTCAAATCCTTCTCAGGTATCTAGGACTGAATAGATTCCTGCGTCGTCTATTACTATGCAAGAATGCTGTGGAAAGTACAGTTTCCCAGAAGCCCCAAGAGTCCATCTGCTTGATCCTACTTATGTCCCTGTTTGTGGTTCTGGAAGTCCTTGTGAATTAGCCTGGAATTGACTCCAGCTGCTCAGGAAGTGTGAGGAAGCCTTTGCAATATGAGAGTTCCTAATACTCTGACGCATATACGTAGTAAGTAACATCGGAACCGTAATACAGGTCCTTTACTGGAATCCACTAGAACAGCAGTTCTCAACCTTCCTAATGCCGCGACCCCTTAATACAGTCCCTCATGTTGTGGTGACCCCCAACCATAAAATTATTTTC